ATTTTGAATAGTGATATGATGGGAAATGTGTGGTTGAAAAAGAAGAAAAAATTATTGATGTGATGGAAAATATTATTTTATTGAAGAATGTGTGGTTGAAAATGAGAATTGATTTACTGTAAAAAAATCAAAATTCATACCAAATAGGCTCTTATACTTCTTATAAATGAAACATTTTTTTCATCATGACAAATTACTACAAATTTACTCTATACCCCTTCAATGTTTGGAGGAAAAATTTGATGCTTATCATCATCGTAACAAATTTGAAACATTTCACAAATTTGAGGACGGGAAGATATCAAAGCAACATAAAGCAAATTCAATTTGACATCATAGTTGTCCGTCTACCATAAACGTAATTCAAATCACTCGTTCATGTCGACCCCTTTCCTTTTCCGTCACATTTGGCAATTCCTTTTCGCTGTAAGAATGGAAGGAACAAAAATTCCCGTAAAAATCTCGATCTTTTCGATTTAAACATGGATCTGATGAAAAACTGATTCACAAAAAAATAACTTAACAATAACATTTAAATCGTGATAACAAAAATAAATCTATGTGTTTTCACATGAAATGCATTCGTATATTTAAAAACAAATGGCGGGCTATTCTTCATATTTTAAGATGGGAGAGAGAGAGGATATTTTACGCAAGAGTAGTCGGAGGTGGGCGCCGATCGATTAGCGGGATATTGGCCGGAGATGGAGAAATGTGCCGGATATGGAGAAACTAATACGAGTTAATCTATGGGTACATGAAACCTTTTGGTGTATGGGCTTTCTTCTTTATACCATGGTCGTACGTGGGCTTTCCTAGATTAGCCGGAAGAGTGGTCGGAGGTGCTGGAAATGGGACGGGGAAAGCTGGGAGGCGGGAGAGCAATTTGGGGGGAAAAGGAATATTAACTCGTACGAATTTCCAGCTTTTTCTTTTTTATGGTCAGGCCCAGTTTTGGTTTGAGTTAAATCCGGTTCCTTCATTTTATTTTATTTTATTGTCCACAGTTTTTGCCTGCCACATCATCACTTTTGAATTCCTGTATATTTCCTGTAATAAGTTTCCTGTATTTATAGAATTACTCAATATAAATACATTTTCCTATGTTTACTGTTCCTGTAATTATCTTGACATGATATTTGTCCAAAATGTAAGAAATGAGTGTACAAATTGCATAACCCATATTTATATGATCAGATTGTACATAACCGTAAGGACCAAAGACAGGTACTGCGGACAATAAGACATCAATGGACAGTTAAATTAAGGCATTATATAATATTCTACAATGGCAAGTCTATCTTTACAAGAAAATACCCTAATATAAATACCTACTGTTCATGGAATTATCTTGACACAATATTTATCCATAGTATAAAAATTGAGTGTACAAATTGCATAACCCATATTTATATGATCAGATTGTACAGAACTGTAAGGACCACAAACAGGTATTGCGTACAATAAGGCATCATTGGGCATCGGATTTCCAGTCAAGTAATCCACATAATTTAATTTCCCTTTCTCTTCTTCACCAAACTCATGAATATATTCTTCTTCCATGGTCACTCTGTCCATCTCATTGGCAGCCTTATTCCCCATACTACTTGCATTACTAAGCACCATTTCATCGGGGTGTTCTGGACAATCGGTAACATATTTTTGAAGCATCGACAGGTTCTGCAAATGAAGGGCGAAATCATTTCTATTTTATTACCGTAAAAAGAAGTACTTAGGAAAAGATTGAAAGAAGCAAAAATGCATTAACACCAGGAAAATGAACGTTTTGATAAATGTCATCACCTCACATTTAGCACAAATTTCTTGGGGTGATTATGTATTATGGATTATTTATTTACTCACTAAAGCATAATGCACAGACCCAATAATCTAGACTATAACCATCATTCTTAATTATTTAAACATATAATCAGGCCACATAATCTGCTGACTAATATCTTTGCACGATTTATGTTCCTTCAAAAATCTAATACTTTTAGCCAAAACGACCCTATTAGGATCTGTATTATAACAATTATCACTTGGCAATATTTCATTTATCTTCATTTATTGTAACATACAAATTCGTAACTTTTTTTGACACATTATCATCTTCAACCTTCCATTAATTAGAGAAATTATTGAAAATATCCCAAATTGAACAATAGCCTTTTCAAAATACTCCTTTATCATTTTAAAATTTTAAAGTTCCTAAAATACCCTTAATATAAAAGGATTTAAAACAAGTCATTCTAATATTAAATAAATTTCATTTTAGTCCTTAAAACTTTAATTCTAATTTAGGATTCGACAAATTGTTTGTCCCTTACAATAAAAATTTAACTTTTCTTTACCATCAACTATTTCCACCTTTCTTGAGCCCGGAAAATTTGATGTTGATTAATAATTTTATTTTTGAATTAATTGTATTTTTGCATTTTAGGACCACATTAAAATGGTATCAAAGCCCTATATTATGAGGAGTTAAAGCCATAAGAAAATGGAAGATAATAAAGAAATTTGCGTAGGATGGTATGTTGACGATTTTACAGAATTCTTAGATACTGATTGTTATATTCAGCATCTTGTTAATAAATCAAGAAATTTGATTGAAAAAATAAAAGACTCATATAGTCTTAAAATAAAGAAAAATTTTGAAAAGAAAATTACTTTTCTTTTAATAAACTTTGATGAAATTTTAGATGAAGACTTGGGATATCTTGTTAAAATACATATTCACAATGAAATGAGAACTTTAAAAAGAATTCAAAAAGTTCTTAATAATGAAATTAGAAGAATTGAAGAATCAGAGCCCTAGAGGAAATTTAGCATATAAAAAATTAAAATTTACTTGTTAAACAAGATATTGTGTACATATAAATGATAAAAAACTAGATGATTGTTTTAGTTTACATTTTAAGATGACTAATAAAATATTAAAAGATGATAATAAAGTTTTTACTATATTATATCAAGGATTATATT